TCTTTCATGATCAAACATTATACAAATGTAAAATATTGACTGTGTAAGGGTAAGGGTAAAAATGCTAATCACATAGACTTGGGGATTCTTTGGGAGACCCTGAACAACAGTAATGGCAAGCTTACTTTTTAGGAAGTGTTAGATACATGTTTGAAAAATAGATTGAATTCATTGTCAAAGTAAACGAGGTCTAAGAAAAATGATGGAAGTTGGCGACTTTGTTGAGTTTTTCTAGGATGAGAAAGAGATAATTTGCCAGGGAGATTTGATAGTATCATTTTATTTTACCTAATATGTGATGTAATTAATTTAAATTATTATGTGTTAACTCAAGAATAAACATACTTTGAGCATATACTACTAACGGAAGATTCGGAAGAAGGAATCAAAGTAATAAGGGTTGACAATGATATAAGAAAGATGAAGAATGTAAAATAACTTTGTGTTTGTGTAAAATTGCGTATTTCTATATATAGAAAGAGAGAGAAAGATGCGAAGAAAGAGATGCCACTTGGGTGCTTAACTTCCACTATATTTCCCCCTTCAATTGCTAAAATGTTGAAAGATGTATGGCATCTAATTACCAAAACCCGAATCAATTAAGGGGAAAATAGTATAGGAAACGAGTGAAAGAAAGAAAAAAAAAATAAGATAGAAAGAAGAAAGGGAGAAAGAAGACATAAAACAATCTCCACACAACAACAAATCTTCTTTCCCTTTCTTATTCTCCCATGCTGCTGACAACAAGAAAGTCAAAATCTTGACCCCTTCTTCATTCTTGGGTCAAAATTGCAAAAGGTAAAAAAAGTATGTATTCTGTGTGCATTGCCATTGATGATGATCATCTTGTTGATCTCTTAATTTTTTGAAATTTCAGGTTAATTAATCAGAAATCGATGGGTAGATTCGGTAAAGCAATCAAAGCAGTGAAGGATCAAACCAGTATCCGGCTAGCCAAACACGGTCACAAAGCGTCATTAGCCGATCTCGATGTCGCAATCCTCAAGGCCACATCGCACGACGAAAACCCCCCCGACGAGCATCTCATGGTCGAAATCTTAACCCTAACAACCGATTCGCCTCTCTACGTCGCATCATGCGTCAACACCATATCTCGTCGTCTCAGCAAAACCAGAAACTGGATCGTGGCTTTAAAAACGCTAATGTTGGTTCAGCGACTCCTCCACGACGGTGGTCCGGCGTACGAGCAGGAGGTGTTCTTCGCGACACGGCGGGGGACTCGACTATTGAACATGTCGGATTTTAGGGATGCTCTGAAATCGAGTACGTGGGATTACGCGGCGTTTGTTCGAGCGTATGCTTTGTTTTTGGATGAACAACTGGAGTATAAGATGGAAGGGAAGAAAGGAATACGTGAATTCTCGCAAGATCTTGAGCAACATGAGTTTATGATTCAAGGGAGGAAAGGAAAGCATGGATCGCGATCGCATGATCTGGATCAGCAGATTGAGTTTGAGATGCAAGGGAGAATCGGAAGACATGGTTCGTGTTCGTATGTGCAAGAGGGAGGAGAGCTTACGTTATCTGCAGCTGTGACTGTACCTGTTCGTGAAATGACCATGGATCAGCTCTTTGCTCGGGTTAATCATTTGATGCAATTACTTGACCGCTTTCTCGCTTGCCGCCCTGCAGGTTATATTTTCCCGCCTATTCCTCACATATAAGAAACAAAAAAAAAAAGACACTACTTGAAAATATGATATATGGACCCACTTAGAAATAGGTCCAACCAAATTTATTATTAAAAAGCCCTCCAAAAATCATATTACAAAATACATTTTCTTTTGGGCACCCATTTTTATATTAAATTGTTTGTATTGACATTTTTTTTATTTAAAAAAATCCAAAAATACTTTCAATTTTCAGAATTTTATACTTTTATATGTTATTTTTTTATGAATAATATTAGAGATAAAAAGTGGGACTACAAATATAATCGATGTTGTGAGATAAAAATTGTAATTTGTAAATGAACTTGTTCTTGTTGTCCGTACAAAATTCGTAAATGGTCTCAAGAATTGACCCTACAAGGCTTGTCAAGTTGGACCGATGCTAGAGGGATACAATCTACAATATTGTTCCACCCAAAAAGACCATATCTCTATTCTAATAAAAGAATAGCTTTAACCTCATTTTGACATGTATCATCATATTAGGCCTCCTAATTAATACACATTTTATTCTTTTATTGCCATGTATCACCCTATTAAACCTCTTAATTAATGCATGCAACTTCTCAACCTATTAATTACCTATTTCAAATTTTAATATTTCCACTTTAATTACAACAAATTAATAACAATGGAATAAAAATTAAAATAAAACTAATACAAATTTAAGGTGATATAATTCCACATGTTTATTTAAATTAACGATTATAATTGATTAATAATTTTGTGTTCTAACTATTAAAGTTTAATTAATTTTGTAACCGTGGTTTCACGGGTTATAAACTAGTACTCGTATAAAAGACAAAAATGTCATTATGATCTCAAACGAACTTGTCAACTCCTAACAAAAAAATGGAACTTGTATTAACAAAAATTACAATATTGTGTTCCACCAAAATATCCCATATGAGTAAAAAACACAAAAACACTCATCCTCCTTATTGTTAAAAATAGTTGAACAAAATCTATCATGTCACTTCCAAAAAGATGGGATTGAGAGTAGGACGGATATGAGTATAACAAAAGTTAAACTTTTTTGTCTCAACCAAAAATGGCATTGATGAGCTTATCTATACTCTTATTGTCTTGTGTAACAAATACAACTTCATTGATTTCTTTCTTCTCGATATTCATTCCAACCAGTTGGATAACTTATATTTTCTTGGCCGATAGGTGGAGCAAGGATTCAAAGGTTGGTGCTTCTAGCTCTATACCCGGTTCTAATACAAAGCTTCCAACTTTATAAAGACATTGTAGAAATCATGGGTGTCTTGAAAGACAAATTCGAGATGGATGATCTCAATATATCACATTCCGTGAAGGTCTATGGTATTTTCCGACGAGTGTCAAAACAATACGAGGAACTCGACATGTTTTATTATTGGTGCAAAACTGCTAGCAACGCAAAGAATGCTGAGTATCCGGAAGTCGACAAGATTTCACAAAAGGATTTAGACGCCATGGATGAACGTGTGAAAGAGAAATCAGGAGTGACAAACTAAATCGTTGTGTTAGACCTAGAAGGGGCAGTTTTGGTATTTCACACAAGTTAGTTGTTGTATATATATCGACTGAGTAATGTAATAGGTAGACTTATATTGATTTTCAAATTTTAATCACCAAAGTTATCAAGTAAGGCAAGAGTTGGTCTACCTTAATATAGATCGTTATGTTGTTTTTTTTAACTTGGTTTTATTGTTAGTTTTTTAACAAGACTAACAATCATTTTGGGGTATTTTCAATGATTATTCGATAAATATGGCAAAATATGTAGGCGAAAGTTTGCGTCCAAAAACAATAAATCCTCCTCTACGGAGAAGACGTGAAGTTGGGCACAACCAAGTGGTGAACGACTACATTTCTGATGAGGTAGTGTTCGCGGAAAAATCCAGGCATCAATTCTGGATGCGCAAGGTATTACTTTTACGCATGGTTGATGATATACGAATTCGTTTTCCATATTTTCAGCAACGGGTTGATGGAAGAGGTAAAAAAAAGTTTTTCCACAATCCAAAAATATACAGCTTCAATTCGTCAACTAGCATTCGGCATGAGACTGGACTCATGGAATGAGTATATGAGGATGTCAGAGTGCATGATACAGGATTGTCCATACAAGTTTGTTAAACCTGTGATTATCATTTATCGCAGTCGCTATTTACGTAAGCCTACAATTAGTGACATCCATCAACTATATACATCACATGGAAACAAGCATGGATTCCTTAGAATGTTTGGTAGTATTGATTGTATGCATTGGGGGTGGACAATGTGTCTTAATACTTGCCATGGTCAGTTTATGCAGGGTGATCAAAACCAACCGAGAACAATTTTAGAAACAGTGGTGTCGTATGACTTTTGGATTTGGCATGCATTTTTTGGTCCATCGGGTGTCAACAATGATATCAATGTTCTAGACCAATCGCTGATATTCAACGATATCTACCTTGACAAATCGTATGATGTGCCATTTGTAGCAAATGAGACGTCATACAAACGTGGGTATTACCTTACTGATGGAATATATCCTGAATTAGTAGTATTTGTGAAATCGTTCATATGTCCGAATGATGAAAAACGATTAAAGTTTAAGGCGGCACAATAATCAGCTAGGAAGGGTATCGAGCATGTATTTAGTGTCCTAAAGAGGCGTTGACAAATACTATTTGTAACGACACGATCTATAGAGCACAAACGAATAAGTAGCTTAATGTACGCATGTATCATATTGCATAATATGATTTTAGAAGATGAGGAGATGACGATTTGCCGCTACAAAGAGAAAGAGAATTTACCAAATGTCGAAGGAGTTGGTATTTGTTCGGAGGCATACATGGTGAACAAAGGGGAAGTGGACGACTAGGTTGGTAACCACAACCTCCGTGCTGATTTGGTGAAACATGTCTTCAATGTTCAAAGGGAACCCGTTGTCGACGATTTTGTTGAAGACGACTTATTTGACAATACAGATGAGGAATCGGAAATGTTTGAAGGATATTGGGATGAAGATTTTGATGACGTGTCAAGCGACGATGATTAGACGACTTGTTCAACTATGTTTCGTTTTTATTCAATTAAAAAAACAAAAATATGCTAAAATGAGATATGACACCCACCTCTTTTGGAAGGAGTGGTAAAAAATGACGTGCCACTTGAAAAGTGTGGTGAGCATGGTATGACACTCACCATCCTAATGATGATGATTCAGATGATATTTACTTCTTTTGCAGCGTCAAAAGATCAAGAACGAGGACAAAAAGTTGCAACTTTTTGTCTAAATGTACACCAAACACAATACAGTTGACAAAATATTTTGGGGAGCAAATGGTAATTTGGGATTCTCCATAAACATAAATTTTTTATCATGCAGTTTCAACATAAAATGAGGTGTTTGATGTTGACAATGGAAGTTGTGTGCGTTTCTTTAGGGATACCCCCAATTGCATTCCAACTGAAACTAGGGTTTCAATTGATCTTGCACTATAAGCCAAAAGGTCCTCGTCTAAAGCTATCGAATCCTGAAAATTTTACTTTTTTTATAATATAATACACTCATAATACTTGATTATAATTTAAAACAAGTTACTATAAATTAGATGGTCTAACCTTTTCAAAGACACAAATGACTGTGCTTCCACCAAATGAGAAATACCCAAACTGTATAAACATAAATAAACAGGAAGATGTATGAATCAAAAACCAAACAAGGGTAGAAACGGAAATTAACGTGTATAGTTAAATAAATTTGAACCTCGTCTCCTTTCTGGACATAGTCTCCCGTTTTTTTAGTGAATGTTATACTACCCACCATTGTTGCTCCAATTGCCACAAATGCTACCTAAATTTAACTTTTCTATTAAGTCGTTTTTTTCTTCATTAAGTCGAGAAATAATCATAAAAGAGTGAGATAACAAACCTTTCCAAAATCGGCAGTTGATATAATGGAAACTGCACGTTTGTTTTCTGTAAACACATTGCAATACTTGCTATTTACAGCAATGGGGTTCACCTACAAATAGTAAAAATCAAATATATATGAACCAGAAATAAAATTTTAAAAATAAATAAATAAATGGATCTATATATACCGTATATAAGCATCCAGGTATATCGACAATCTGCTCAATCTTTCCAGAAACTGGGAAATGGAAACGATGATAATCCTGCCAGAATTTGTACAACTTCAACTTCAACTTTTATTTTTTTATATTTTATGTTTTTTTATTTGTCAAAATAAAATGAAATATCACCTGTGGTGCGAGGCGAAATATCACCAAAGTTCCACCAGTGAAAGTATCTGAGAATGGTAAATTACCAAGGAGACCTCGGATGGAGAATTTTTTACCCTAAAATTTACAAAAAAAAAAAAAATCAAAATTGTATTTGATTTTGCAAACATTCGTTACTTTTCTTTTTCAAAGACTGCAATAAATCCATTAGTGATGACAATCAATGTTTTACAAGAGTTATTCAATCAATGTATGAAATATTGAAATACAACAATGATTTCAAAAAATGTAAATACCTTGATCCAAAATCTGAGACTTTCTTCAGCTGTTCTAAATGCCATTAAACGACAATCAGCAGCACAAACTGCCACGTCATCACGTCCTACATAAGCAATTGGTCTTGCTCCAGGTTTCAACTCTCTTATAAAAAATTCATTAAATGTCTGCATAAACAAAATTTGTCACTGAATTTACTCTTTCGTGTTCATAAGTGGTCCCACATAGCATCCTGCTTTCATTTTTCCTATTCCACCATTGTACTTCTAAATAGCATGATGCTATAATACACAAATAAATGAAAATTTGAAAATACACTGCTATTTCTTGCATTTAGATCTTGTTTGAATAAAGTTTGAATTTGACTTACCTTAAAATGATCCAAAGGGTATTTAACTTCAGCCATATTGATTTGATCCTACAATATATACCCATAACATATTAAACTTAGTGCAAAAAAAAAAAATGATAGGATGATTAATATAGAGGATTATGTTACCTTGAAGAATTTAAGAAATGGTTGTATATCTTTTGCAGATTCAGCTGAATTCATTTTCTTTCCCTGTTTTTCTGATATGCTCTGTAATAATTCTTTTGCCCCTGAATCCCATTGGACATACATTTAAAAACATTATGAAATAAAGATTTATTACAAAAAGTTTTAAATTTTTTTTTTTTTACCTTTGTCCATAATTCCAAGCCCTACTTTAGATTGATATATAGCTCTCATTGATAATACAATCTTTCCATCAATTATCTCCTCTACAAGCCTCTTTTTCCTCCTGTCAAAAAACCTAAGTTCCAATAACATATTTCTAGTTAAAACACACACACACACACACACACACACTAGAGAGAGAGAGAGAGTGTGTGTGTGTGTGTGTACCACAATGTGTGAAGCATTTGAACCAGAGTTCAAGCCAGCATCATAGGATGAGACATGGGCCCATTCAGAGAGTTTAAACATCCACCTTGAAAACAAGAATCATTGAAACATAAATAATTTATTACTTTTAAATATATATAAAAAAATTGATTGTAAAAAGTAAAAAGTATCTCACCCAAAGGAAGCTTGTTTATCAGTTAAGAATCCCCCAGTCATAACCTGGTTTCCAGTGCCTTCATCAAAAACATAGTGACATATGAATCATGGAGTTCAGCTTATCAGAAACTTCTAGAAGCTCTCCACAAACAGGACAACGATTAATCAGAGGTTCCCTTCAAGATCAAATGTCAAAAAGTTACTCACAATTTATAAAAAGTGAGGAAACAAGCAAAAACAAAAGGATCATAATGTTATGTGACATACTTTTCTTGTTGCATGGCTAAAAGTATAGCCAGTTCATCCATGCTGACATCACCATCTCCATTTTCATCAGCTGCCTTAAACAACTCCTCTTTCTGAAAGAAAAATAGTTGAACTACTCGTTAACAAAAAGAACCATTAACTGAAATGAGTAGATTAACAAGATTTACATTCAAACCTTTTTTGCAGCCTGTTGATTGCCAAATGCATCTATTAATTCTGAGAATTCAGAGAAAGATAATTTTCCATCACCATTGTAATCCTGCATTACGTAAAAGTTAAAGCTAAAATCTTGTAAAAGAAATAAAGCTTCCATTTTCTTTTTAAAGATGGTTTTAGACATACAACAATGGATAAGATACGTCTTGCAAAACTTTTCTCTGTTTCAGTTGGATCCTGCCAATAAAAAAAACTAGATGTTATAAACAAATTATTATGCATTAACAATAACAAAAACATTCTTACAGAATATGAAATATGTCACTGTAGCAAACCTCAATGGAACATGAAAGAGATATGTTGCCAACAACTACATTTGAAGATGATGGATCCATTACATTGAACACTTTTTTGTCAGAATCTGAATCCTGTAAAATATGAATGCAAAGTGAAGTTACTGCACTCAGCAGAAGTCGCATATTTTTTTTGATTTATCTTGTCATAAAAATATGTATTCTTTTAATTATCTCAAAATACACTTCTTCAAGAGAGAACTTACCCGAATAAGGAATTCGAAAAGATCTACCTCACAATGCCCAATGAGGTTGTTCTTGCGTAGTCTATTGGTCTGCAACACAAAAAAGAAGATGATGAAGTTTAAACATTCAAGAAAAGCAGGTTATGTTCCTACATATCAAAATTATATATTATGATTATGGTCCTACAACGAAAGAGGTAAAAAAAATCCATATCATGGTAATCTTTTCTTGTAATGTAAAACTGATATATAAAAATGAAGTTCAGTTGCTACAAACCTCAAAAACAGATATTTTGGCAACATGAGGCCCATTCTTTTCCAAAAGAAACTTTATCTCCTGTAAAATACCAAATGTATTGTTACTGAATGCAGTGTGTCATAACCACAGAACCAAATCATATTCTTTAAGTGATTTAAATGCAGATGGAGAGAAACTTGAACATTTGATTATCACATGCTATAGCTTTAATGGAGATGAAGAACATTACACATGCAAATGAATCTTGTCAACTTGTTTGGGATATGATTCATAAGAACTGTTAAACTTCTATGATTCATTAAGGGTTGATTCTTGATTGTGAAAGGAAGTCTTAACAAATTACAGTCATGTAATGATGATTCAAAGCTATATGTAAGAAAATTCACTTACAGAGTTCCATGTAGGCTTGTTGGTCCTGCACATTGTTCAAATATAAAAATTAGACTGATGAGTTGAACAGTAACTTCCAGAAAACAACTATTAAGTCTTAATTGTACTACATGAGAATGATTTCTAGAAAATTTAGTTTTATTAGCACGAAAACATAGGATTGGAAGGTTATTAATGGTACTTAACTGGTCAGAAATCTCGGTGCGAAAAGTCTGTTCTCCAATGGAAATACAAGCAAGCCACTTATCCTTAAATTTCATCTCCGCCTACAAAACAATTGAAACACAACTTCAGTCGAAAATGATTTATATAAACAACAAATTAGGTGCATAATCACAATATACAATCGGAATCATACAGAAATAAGAGTGACCAAAGCGATGCCGGCAAAATCCTCCAAAGTGCTGAGTTTTGGGTGCTGAGAATGCGAACCGCGACTAGTTCGAACGGAACGATCACGATCACGATCACGATGTCGGTGAAGATGAAGCTTCGTCTTGATTCTCTCGCGGCGCGACGTGTGTGATTTTGAATTGGAACCACCGCCGTTTGTAGAGTCATCAGAGGAGCTTGATTTGGAACTTCCATGCCCCATTTTTACTCAATCTCTCTAGAATGCCAAAATTCCGACGAGGAAAGTTCGGAAGAACAAATTGAGTAGAAGAAGGAATCACCGAATATGAAAAATTCCAAAGGAGAGGTTGATCATGGAAATTTGACTATTGTTGTCAATGGTGGCAGTTGATATGGACTTGGAATCGATTCAGACATGTTGCACCATGACGCATCGTCAACGAAAAGGGTCATGGGAAGAGTTATTCCTATATTTATTTTAAAATTCAATATATTTCATAATTGTTTTATGAAATAATCATAAAAGTGACCACGTATCTCTATGTATAATATAATATTGCAATATAATCATATATTTCAATTTATCATAAATTCATCATCTAATTTGAGAAAGTAAATCCTTACGGATACGCAAGCTAGTTTTTCATAAAAAATTTGCTAAATTTGTAATATACTTTAACGTAATTTGTTGAATTCATTAGTGAATGTCATTAGGCTCGAATATTGAAAATGACGAGTGGAAAGTCATAAATTAAAAATTAAAAATAAATAAATAAATAAAAGGATGTGAAAGTGGACTTGCTTTATGAACGGCCGGGTGTGAAAGTGACTTTATCTAATTTTTGTTTCTAATAATAAAAATATTTTTCCAAACAGAGAAGATTATTATTTATTATTAAGTAATTTAGGGGCTTAAAATAAACATATAAATTGATGGAGGGGGCTTATGTCCAAACGAGTAAGTTACTCATTTAGTCATTCTATATATATATATATATATATATATATATATATATATATATATATATATATATATATATATATATATATATATATATATATATATATATATTAAAGGGGAGCACTTCTTAGGAATAGTGCTTAACCAAAGTTCTAACTAGGGTACTGTTCATCGGGTTCGCTCCTCGACCATGGTAAGGAAAATCGGTCCTTCAGTTTCTTTGTTATTATCAAACCTTTTCTTCTCCCATCAAAATAGTCTAGAAGCCCTAAAACCACCCCCACCCCACCGATCGATTTTGCTCCTTCTACTACGGTGCCTTCGATTTTGCTCCTTCTACTACGGTGCCTTCAATTGATGGCACAGGTGTGTTTCCCCTGGTTCCATTCTGACCTCCACTGCCTCCTCTCACTTCAGTTGTGGTGCTTTGGAGTTCCGGTGGGTATTTACGTGTCATTCTCGCATCTCTCCCCACCGGTTCTGCCTTATCTTCCCCCCACCGCTTTCTCGCCACTCATATTCGGATTTCACCAAACTACAGACGGGATGACGCAGATGACCATCGACCGGACTCCGATTTAGGTTCTCACGACGGGATTGGGATCGGATACGTTCCGTTGAGCTCTTCAAATCCTCGAATTTCTTTGATGCTTCCACAGTCGGTATGTGAATTCGACACTTCCACCATCGATGTATGAAATCGACGCATCCTAAAGGTTGAAGTGGTCATGATGCAGATGGCCATCGACCGAGATGCGATTTAGGTTCTCACGACGGGGCTGACTCCTGATTTGTGCCACCGACAGCAACCCAACAGTCACCGCCAACTGGAGCTTCTAACCCCTTTTCGCCTGCTTCTCAAACGCTGCCACCATGGGTTTGTACTGTTAAAAGAAATGGTATAATTTCGACTGTTCTTTATCCACCTACGTATGAAGCATGATGTCTCAGTTCTTGATCCCTTACATGCATCATATCCCAATTTTCATGTTCTTTATCCACCTACGTAGGCACACTGTTCGAATTTCGATCCCTGGTTTCATTGCTTAATCTGGCCATGTTTTTATTCAATTTATTGCTACTGACTGTACCGATTTATGATGAATATGTTCTTTTTGGGTTTTGATGATCCACATCGGTGTGCTTTGTGTTCATAAGGCTTTAACTTTTCATTTCAGAGTGGACACCATATCATGTGTTTGTGTATATGCCTGACAGAGTTCTAAACCCCTAATTCTTCCAGATGTTCATACTTAGGGTTGAGATTATGACATGTTTGCCAAATTTTCGAGGTTAACAATGCAGTAAACTGTAAACCCAAAATAAATAGGTAAATTTATAACATGAGCATCAACAGACTCTAATCGTGTATATCAATAAATGCAAGAATTTGTGGTTAACAATGGAGGCAACAGTGAAAAAGTTTCAGCAGAAATTCAAGAGGGTGAAAGATGACATGGATAAATGGGATAACCTTCATGCTCAATTAGTATCACCGTTCAGAAATGCTTCTTCCATCATTGGAAGGTTACAGGTCCTTCACATTTCACATACATATATTCATACATAGATTCAATCTCTTGATTAATTCTTATCGATTTTATTCCCTTTTTTACCCTCTTATCAGTTGCTCGAAAGTCCCAAAAACTATGGTTCCCTAAAAAACCTTGATAACATTAAAAATAACATCTTCACAAAACAGATGGAATCCCTTCAGAAGATCTTGCTTTCAATGACTAAAACTCTGTAAGTCTATAATACTCTATCCCAATTCGGAACCCTATTCAGACCTTTTCGTCACTTACTCCTCTCAAAAAGGTAATTTTGTAATTTCGACAATGTCATTCTTTTGGGTTTTAGAATGAACTTTTATTTTTCTTGACTATGGCAGACGCATCATCCAGACCAAGTGCGCTTTCCTTGTGTAAGAACTGCTTTCGGTGGTATAAATGCATCTGTTGTTTAAATAGGTACGACCATCAGGTAGCCAGCAGCCCTATGTCGCTGTGTCGGTATTGTTCAACCCTAATTCCTTCAACTCTTTCGTTTCGCTGGACAAGCTTTTGACAGGTAAGTTGTAAACCCTAAGTATAAATTCTGAAATTACTTGGGTTTTGTTGTCTGCATGTGGAAATTTGGGTTCTTGCACATCAAATTACCTCATACATACATGGTATGTCATCAGCATAATCATTCATATGCATATTTGTTTATTCTAGAATCAAATATGTTATCTGCACTTTGTAATTTTTGATGAATTATAGAGTAGTGACTTCCATTCCTTTTATTAGGCTCAATCCAGGAATATTGGAAGTTCTTGGGATGTTCACGTTAGAATGTGTTGCTTATAGGCAGATTGGAAGTTCCTGGGACATCATTTTTGTATATTATAAAAAAAAAATTATCAACAAAAGGCTAATACTTGTTTTTTCTTTTTCTTTTTTCTTTTTTTTTTAATATTTATAAAAATGTTTAATGCAGGAACATCTGAAAAAAAGGCTATTTCTATTGACGAAATGGTAGTTATAGATATTAAAACCAAGTTAGCCTCTTCCTATTTCCCTACATACTTTTATTTTTATAAAAAAAAAAAATAATGATTTTAACAGTTTTTGTTAAAAATGCCCCTGCATATGGTCATTAACAGATGTGGAGATCAAGACGGTGAACCACAAATACAAGACGAGTGTTAACAGATTGTAAGCAACTTATGACTCTGGAATTGGTATGTTTCTCAATTTTTTTATTCATTTTATAGGGTTTAGACTCCAATTAACCATCCAGAACAAACTGGAAATCACTTTACATTGCAGGTTCCTATTGGTTGATTGGTCACTGATTCGTAATACAGACTTTCAAATTTCTTTCTTGATTCATGCAGGTTTCATTTTATCTTTCTTTGACATTACAGGACCAAAGAAGGAGTTTTACTCATTATATGGTCGCTGTTTTGAGATCAAAGATAACAAGTTATTAACTTTACTCTTTTTATTATTATTGTAAAGCTTATATTTATCTTTGTTTAAATTTGGATTTTTTTTAAACAACTTCAGGTATGTTTACAAAGTTTGTGCCTTTTAAGATGTTAGTCGAGTGGAGGGTCATACCACAACTACTTTAAGGTATGTGTTTTATTTTTATTTTTTTTTTATTTATTGATTTTCACTAAAACTTGTGTATTAAATTTCTCAAATGTTTTGATGAGTCATACAGAATCATGCTCTTCTCAAATGGTGACAAATGCTACCTCAAACAAGCTTACCTTGACCTACCTTAATATTTTAATCTTTTTTAATTAATTACAAAATTTAAAAATTGCCCCTTTCAACATATCATATTTTCTCAACAGGTGAGATTAAGATGTGGATCAAAAGTTGAAGTTGCCGATATAGATGAACCTACCCGTTGCAAGTAAACCCCCCCCCCCCCCCAAAAAAAAATATATATATATATATATATATATATATATATATATATATATATATATATATATATTTGTTTTATTGTTTTTATTGTGAATTGTGAATAAAATATTTATTTGCAGATACTCACCGTTATTAACTTCTCCAACCCTTTGCCAAGAACGAAGACTCAAGGTACACATGTCTTTCATCATTTTATTTGTGAAAAGACAAAATGCCCTTCTCATTGTAAAAGAATAACCCGAGAAAGATTGTATGGAATGTTTCAGGAGCTACAAGATAAACTAGAAGTAGTGAAAATGGAACAACCACAAGGTCACGATGAGCGTTAAATATTTTTCATACCATTTATTGTGGAAAAAGCAAAAAAAAATGATCGATTTGTCCTTTTATTCCATATTTGGGATGAACTTGCTGAATAGGATCAATACAACACTTCCATGAGATACATGGAGTGAGGTTTATAATAATATAGTTGCTTTTTTCAAGGGGACTAGAATTGGTAAAAATCTAGAGCATTGCTGCTATAGTAACTTGTACCTCATGCATTGGAAGTTGAACCTTTCCATGAACTATATTAGATAATCTTGAGAGGTAGATACATATATGTTGGGTGACTGTGAATCTATTCTTTTGCAAAAAAAAAATGCTCCTTAAAATGGTGAATTACATAATTTTCTGTTGTGATTATTAATCTTTTGATGCAAGAAATATCAATATACTTATATTTTTTATTTCTCTATTATAGCATTTTACTTTCATATCTCCATATTACAACATTGTAGCCATGATTGAGTAGATTTTCAAACTACAATGTGTTAACAAGATTTGTTTTGTAAGTATTTTTTAAAAAACATTTACTCAATTAGAAAGAAATTAAAAGGTATAATGTTGTCATAGAAAGAAATGAAAGTTTGATGTTATAATAAATAAATAAATGAAATGGCTCATGTGTAATGTGAAATGGTAAAAAATATATCGTTTTGCCATTTTTTGTAGTGGGGCTTGTGTGAAGGGTAGGCACTTGGAAACATATGAAATGGGCCATGTGTAATGAGCTCGTACGAAATGTTTGACCCATGTGAAATGGATTACTTGCAAAATCATCAAACAAAGTTTTATCTAACCAAACTGGTGTATTTATGTATTACCACTTAATATTGATATCAAATAGGTGGGTTGCATCCGACCCTTGCAACGCAGGGTATCCCTATTTAGTTTATCATTAACTAAGCAAATATTTGTGTCATGTATGTTAAAATTATATAATTAATTTTTTTTATATATGTGTTGAAAATAATATGATATAATTTTATAATTATACTGAAACATAATATAAATTATATATCTATTATATTCATATCATTCAATTATATCTACTTATGATTTTACTTAAATAAAATTAAACATGATTTTTGATTTGATATTATAATTTAATGTTATGATTGATTAATTTAAAATTATTTATTTATTAATTTTTTTTAAATTTCGATCATACGGCTTATTCATATATTATTATATGAACCATTGTTTATAAATTAACACAATATAATTTTTTTTATTAATTAGTTAAAAACGACTTATATGAAAGAAAATATAATATAAAATAGTTTGATATATATATATATATATATATATATATATATATATATATATATATATATATATATATATATATATATATATATGTCTGTGTGTGTGTGTGTGTGTAACGACCCAATTTCTACGACCAAAAATTTCATTTTTTGATTAAGTGATTTGTACAACATTTGTATCAAAATATCAACCGATCATATCATTTAATAAAAGCATGTCTCGTATCTGAAAACCGAATCGTAAAAACATAATAATGTCAGAGTACAAATCCCAAAATAACTCATAATGCGGAAAACAAAGAGTGTGTATGATGTGCCGCTACCGCGCCAGCTCCTTCCCCTTCTCTGAAGAGGTACCTGAAACCAAAACTGTAAACTGTAAGCACGAAGCTTAGTGAGTTCCCCCATCGTACCAACATACCATGCAATCACATAGCATACATACTGTCGGGAAATTCTGGGGTGCCCGACCTACCCGGTACGGCCATTCTGGGGTGCCGTCCTACCCATGCGACCATTCTGGGGTGCTGTCCTACCCATATCAAGCCATTCTGGGGTGCTGACCTACCTGTCGGTCCTAACAACCGACCCTCGGGGACTATTCCACCCCTTACTGCTACAATAACATATAACATAAACATACTATCATACATATCTAGGGTGTCCGAACTACCCTTCGGTCCTAACAACCGAACTTGGGGACTATTCCCCTCCTACCACCGCTATCACATATAACATATCATGCCATCATATGAACATATCAGCACATCTTATCAGACATATCTGGGGTGTCTGACCTACCCTTCGGTTCTAACAACCGAACTCTACTACTATCACATATAACATATCAAGCCAGCATATAACATATCCAGGTAGTAGCAAACCTAGATGATATCACAAAGACAATCATCTAATCATACAACTCCTACTGGTGGCCTGGAATTGTGGCCATAGACCCACCGCTACCGGAAGGTAACTCACCTCGTAGTAGCTGCTAATCTGTGCGGGAATCCTCTAACTGCTGCCGATGCTAACGCTACCATACAAAGACAATCATCTAATCATACAACATTGCTGCCGGAGTGAGCCGACGGCCTCCAAGCACCGTTGCTACCCCAGTTGTCGACAAGGACGCAAGCAGGCTTCTTCTCTCCATCCTGCCACCAATGTTATCGTCAGGGGAGGGTTTTGTCGCCATCACCACCTCGCTGCTAGTTCCTTCCATCAAGGGTTGCGCCCGCCTCCACCTTTTTGCCTCTTCTTTAATCTCGTCATCAACCGCGACACACCACCGCAAGATGTCGCTGTCAAGACGTTGTTGTCGCCTCTCCGGGTTGCTGTCGTCGCCAACCGCCACCGAAGGGTGGCTGGGTCCTTGTGCAATTGAGGAATGTGTGTATGTGTCAGTGTTGTAGGGGTGTTAGTTGGCCGGAAGACAGAGAAGACGACCACCATGGCCTCCAGCCATGGTGGCTGCCGCCATGCATCACCATCGGCCGCCACTAGGTTGCTATGAATTCGTGTTTGTATTAGTGTGTGTGTGTGTGTGTGATTATTTAGAGTTTAAGCATTGTAAAATGTATCTAAAAGAAGAGTAATGAAAAGAAATCCTAACCACCACCGTATGGTGGAGGCTGTCGCCACCGGCCGCCGTGTTGGGTGGCGGTGTGCTTGCCTCATTTGAGTTTGATTCATTTGGGGTGCTAGAAACCCTAATGGGTCCAAAGAAGCTCTAATGGGTCTATTGAACCCTAATTGACCTAAGGAAACCCTAATGGGCTAAGGGACTTGACTTTGGGCCTATTGGGCTAAGATGGATTGGAAACCCTAATTAGGGTGTGGAAAACCCTAATGCAATGAAACCCTAACTTGGGACTTAGCGAGCTGCATCAAATTTTCTAATGAATCTATAATACTAATTGGTAATAATTTACAATCAACCTAAGTTAATATTGTACTTAATAGATTAAGTCCTTAGTGGATTAAGTCCTTAATGGGTTAAGTAGGAAACTTAACCCTAATCGTCATTTTACGTGAAACCCTAGTTTCACTTGGGCCTTAAGTTGGGCCTTTTTAGTGGGCTTTGATGATTGAGACAATAATAGGCCATCCAAGAACAAGCAACTGGGCTAGAATAATTTAATGGGCCTAGGGTAAGGCCCATGTAAGGGGTTTGGGCCCAATTTGAAAAATTGGGCCATAGATGGGCCAGAGTTTGGGCCTTAATGTTTACATGATGTTGGGCCTCAGAATAAGACCATGTATAGGCTTGGGCCCAATTTGGAAAATTAGGCCATATGTTGGGCTTTGATTTCCTAGTGGACTTTGGGCCTAAAGATTGGGCCTTAGGCTTGTATAAAGACAACCTTGGGGTAATGTAGTAATTATCCAAGTAAGTATCTATGATTATGTGTTGAGACCCAATTATTAAATTGGGTGTTATTTTGGTGTTGACAGTTCGGGAATTTTTCAACCAACAGTTGGGTTCAGTATGCAAGACTTCAGTAGTGTGGGATTGTGTCTACGGGACTTCAATAATATGAGGTGAGTTACCTTCCAGTAGAAGTGGTTCTACGACCACAATGTCGGCCCACTAGCAAGAGTTGTTTGTTAGATGATTGTCTTTGTGATAATTATCTGGTATGCTGTTATCTTTTATGTTTGTGTGCTAGGATGCTTTGTGATAATGTTAGTAGTAGTAGGGGTGAAATAGTCCCCGAATACCAGTTGAAAGATACCGAAGGGGTCGTCAGAACCTATGCATGCCTAGCAGTATGTTTATGATATGTTATATGTGATAGTGGTAGTAAGAGGGGAATAGTCCCCAAGTTCGGTTGTTAGGACCGAAGGGTAGGTCGGGCACCCCATATATGCCTGACATTATGATTATGATATATTATTGTGTGGTGGTCGTATGGGTGAAATAGTCCCCATTGCCGGTTGAGATAGACTGTAGGGTAGGTCGGCACCCCAGAATGGTCTGACATGGGTATGTCAGCACCCAAGAATGGCTTGACACGAGAAGGTCAGCACCCCAGAATGGCTTGACGTGGGTAGGTCGGCACCCCAGAATTGTCTGGCAGTATGTATGCTATGTGATTATATAGTATGTGATATGATGGGGGAACTCACTAAGCTTTGTGCTTACGGTTTTCAGTTTTGGTTTCAGGTACTTTGTTTTCAAAGGAAAGGAGTCGGCTCGATCGCAGCGCATCACACTATGTTTTTCACACATGAGATCCTTGGGGATTACGCTCTGATATGGTTTTATGATACTATTTTTTGGATTACTGACATTTGGGTTTTGACATGAGACATTATTACCAATGTTCTTATACTGATGGTTTTATGTAATACCATAATTAAAATGAAATTTTTGGCCTGTATTTTTGGGATGTTACAGAGATACATGCCGTAGCACCTCTAGACCAACATCCCCTACATTCTCGAACCATTTTTTTCTGACAATGTTATGCTTAAGCTTTACAAATATGTGGATTATATATATATATATATATATATATATATATATATATATATATATATATATATATATATATATATATATTGCCATAGTATTACAGACGAAAAATACTTTGGTTGAACTGAATACCTTTTTGGATGACACTTTTTGGAAAATTAGAATTCATTTGGTTATATACCGATGTTAGTATCTAAATTTGTTTTGATTATAAATAGAGTGGTTCCCCTTAGGCAAAGGTTGATGATTCAAATCT